CCTGAGCGGCGGGTGGGGTCCGTGGGATCGCCGGAGCCAGGGGCTGCTGAGCTGCGGGTGGGATCGCCGGAGCCAGGGGCTGCTGAACTCAGCTTGCCTCTTAGGGGAGGGACCTGCTGGAGCCGAGTCCAGTGTTGCCCTCCCAGCCTTGGCGCTCCTTGATCATGCTGGCGTGACGGGGCGGGGCAGAGCAGAGCTGGCAGGCCCACTGGTTTCTGGAAGAGCTGCCCAGAGGATTCAGGGGGCCTGGGGCAAAGCAATTTTGGGGCCCCCTTCCTTGCACTCCCTGTCTCAGACCTCAGACATTCTCGTGGGACCATGTCCTGGCTCTGAACTGCTCACACACGGATCCCGTTCCGGGAGCGACTGCAGCACATGAGAGATCTGCTTCTGGTGCACTCTGTCTGGGGGCTGCCTGGGGTCTCTTCAGGAGCTCTCAGCATGTCCTGGCTCTGAACTGCTCACACACGGATCCCGTTCCGGGAGCGACTGCAGCACATGAGAGATCTGCTCAGAGACAGGCTGCCTCGCCTGTGCTAGGCGTCAAGGAAGGCACAAGTGTTGTAAAGGGGTGGTCGGAGCGTCTCCTTCCATGTGGCAGAGGGAGAGAGACGGTTGCTCTGGACCTGCCAGGTTGGTGGCAAGGGCCTTTAGGGAGGGACCCAGCGAGTGAAGGGGGCTTGGAGGGGATGAGATGGGACCGGCACTCATTGGCATGACGTTTGTGTTCCTGTTGCTTCTGGGCCACCTCGTCGGCATGCGCGGGCCGAAGGAGCGGCCGTGGCGCTGCGGCGAGGTTTGGAACAGCAGCGCCGATGAGGAAGACTGGGGGAGGACGTTAGGGAGCAGCTGCAGTACCGCGCGCCGAACCCTCCGCCCCGGCCCCGGCCACCTCCCGTTGAACCTTTGCTGACCCCCGAGCTCGCCGAGTGACAGCCGCCTTGCCCGACTTACCCGGTACCGCGTCATGCCGGGCTCTCTCCGGGCATGGGCAGCAGCCCACATCCGCCCAGTGCCTGTGTTGCCAGCCCTGGTTTGCAGACTGCAGGGGCCTGGAAGCTTGTTACGTGCCCAGATCCAAACTGCACCCGTCATGGTCAGCGTCCCTGAGCGTGTGTGCGATGGGAGCAGTGTGTGGGGAGAAGGAATTCCAGGGACCAGCCCTGTGCTCACTTTCTGCCCCTTGCCCTCAGAGCCCCTGCTCTCTAAGCCCCCAGGGAATGTCTGCACGCCCCCGGCAGCCGCTGGGGTACTCCCCAAAGTGCCTGTTTCCCATGCTGACCTATCCAGGGCCCCCAGCAATATAGGTGCACCTCTGAGCTCCCACCCCTCCTGTCAGGAACCCCTGTCCTCACTCAGCCGGCTGACCTGTGGCTGGGGGCCACCTCCCTGTGAAGTGTCTCTTGGCTACAGGGGCTCTTGGAAATGCACAACCTGAATGCTTCACTGATGTAGATGTCACAGCCAGGGACCTACCATCCTCTCCAGCTGCCCAATACGGCCCAGGTGCATGGTCTGACCCAGAGCCCACAAGCAGCCTGAACACTCTCAGCAGGTGCCTAGGACTTGCCAGCTGTGGCCTGGCTGCTCAGCGATCTTACTGCAGGGCCTGCTCATGGATGCTGACAACGCCGGCAGGTCAAAGGAAGCTCCAGCGTGCTGGGCCCTGGGAACCGTGCAGCTGCAGTTTCCTGCCTACTTAACCCCCTAGCAGACCCAAACTTCCCTCGTTCCTTCCCCACCGGGGCCACGTCTGGACTGCAGGCTTCTTTGGGAAGGAGCTTTTCCGGTAGAGGTCTTCCAAAACCCTTCTTCCGAAAGGGAGCGTCTGCACTGCCAGAGCACATCAAAAAAGCCATCTGCTTTTTCATCCGTGTCCATGCCGAATGGGCGCGCTCTATGGATGGAGCGGCCCCCGGGGCCCCTGTGCTTCTTCCTCTTCTTTGGAAAGAAGTCCCCTTCCCCGTCCACGCACACCTCTTCCCAAAGGCTTCACCAGTGTCGGGAAACCGCTCTGGCTTTTGATCTCTTCAAAAGAACACGGCTGCAGTGTGGACGGAAGTGACGTTTTTCCCCAAACCTCTGTGGTGCAGATGTAGTGGGGTGAGACGGGCAAGACTGGCTCCACCTACTACACAGGGCTCCTGCTCGCTACAGCCACACGGCCAGATGCATCTTGTGACATTCAGGGCAGACAGATGTGGGTGGATCACGGGGAGTCTCGGGCTCGGGGTGTGTCCGTTCCCGCAGACACGCCCTAGTCAGACTGGACCCCAGTCTCTCCCTGGCTGGGTTATCTGGCAGCGGCTGCGCAGGCTGTGGGTGGTGCACTGCCCACACAAGGCCCAGACCCTGAAGTGCTCAGACGTCAGACACTCACTCAGTTCTGTAGTGGGTGCTGGGGCCCAGTGTCCCTGTGAAGGAGACCAGCCCCTGCCACGGATTGAGTCCCGAGTCCCTCGCTCCCCCCGACCATCGTGCAGCTCACAGCTGGATTTTCGGAACGGCAACGTCGTGCTGGCGCTGGGTGGAGTTTAGGGAGTTTTCTGCTCTGCGCTCGGCACTCGCGCCAGCCTGGGAAGGGACCCCAGCCCCTGCCACGGATTGAGTCCCGAGTCCCTCGCTCCCCCCGACCATCGTGCAGCTCACAGCTGGATTTTCGGAACGGCAACGTCGTGCTGGCGCTGGGTGGAGTTTAGGGAGTTTTCTGCTCTGCGCTCGGCACTCGCGCCAGCCCCCTGCTCTGGGCCCCTCACTAAACGGATGCTGGATCGCCCCAGCGTGGGCTGCCTGGAGACCCTGCAATGCTTGAGCTGCCCATTTCTCCTTGTA